AAGGACAATTTCAGTGCGCTGGAATTTAAAATACAAAATCACAGGCCTTCTGGAAAGTACTGAGACTGCTGAGGACCCCAGAACCTTCCTCCAGCAGCCGCCCTGAGGCCTGTGCCTGGGCCAGCTGTGCCTGGAGGTGAGGTGGAGAACTTTAGGGCTGCCATTTCCTGCCCCTGCTGTGGCTTAGGGGTATAGAAGGGAAACTAGACTCCCATGAGGAGGTTCCTAGTGTGTACTGCTTTGCCAGAGCCGCTGTAGGAGGGGCACACCTGCAGGCAGGTTTAGTGAGCTCAGGTCTGGGAGGGACTCCTGGCATCATCCCTGGTTGGTGCAGCCCTTGGGGGATGCACATGGTGCTGCAGTGGAGTTGATTTATTTGCTTGTTCTGGAAAGATTTCCATTGTTCACAGCCGGGTACACCGCTGAAGTACTTTACCACCACTGGGTAAGGAAGCCACCAGCTACCACTGAATTTGGTCTTCCTGTGACCTTGAACCAAAAAACCAAAAAAAACCTCATCCTGATGATTTTCTTATGTCTTAAAAAGACATAAAAAAATCAAAAGTTTGGAGGTGAAATGCCAAACAGAAGTAGTGTGTCCAGGATGTAGTAGGAGCTTGGCTGAGGGGGACCTCTGGTCCCCTTTTCATGACTGTATGTCTGTGACTTGCATCCTTTTGTGAGGACCCTCTGTTGCACAGGATGCCAGTGTGACAGGACTTCAGGGCAGTGTGGCTGTAAAGGTCCCCACAGCCCTAGGAGCTGCAGACCTGTCCTGTGCTGACTGAGGAGAACAAGGTAGTGCCAGAGAGGAACCAAGGGTGTTTCCCTGTGAGAATGTGACCCATGAGCCCAGTGTGGCCGCGCTTGCCAAGGCCACTGGGCAGAGAGCTTTCCCCTGGGCATGACCCAAAATATACTTAGTAAGGGACCGGGGTGCTTACTGACACTGGTGGATCACCCTCATTTCTCCAGAAGAGGAGCGGAGTGTGTTTTGCTAGATGGGTGTGGCTGATTCCCTGAACCTCTACAGGAGGGGGGCCCCGCCTGTTGTGAGAGCCCCACCCTGCTCAGGGCTCTGGCCCTGGGTCCTATGCCCTCAGCTCCAGCAGCACCAGTTGTCACTGCTTGGGCCAGCCTGTGTGCAGAGGGGCAAGAGGGTGGTTTGGGCAAAAGTAAGCACTCGGATTTTGTTTCCTGTTTGCAGGGGGCTGCAGGGCCTGCCACTGCTGATACCACCCAGAGGGCCTTCCTGGGGTCCCTGCACGTGAAGGGGGTGCCAGGTGAGAACAGTCCAAGAGCCCGTGGGAGCTGCAGCCCCCTTTGTTCCTTTGTAGCAGCAGCAGAGTTTTCAGAGTCGGTAGGGATGGCCATGGCGGGGACGGGGGGTGGGCAGTCTTGCAGTCATGGATTCTCACTCCTTCTCTCCTTACAGTGACTGAGAGCCAGAAGGTCACCCTTTTTATAGATGAGAAAATGGAGTGAAGTGCTTGCTTGGGGTCAGTCAGCTAATTAAATGCCCATCCTGCTGCACCATAGTGTCTTGGGACAGTAGAGGACAATGACCATTATGCAGTGCGCCCACCCTGTTCACATGTTGAAGCCCTAGCCCCCCGACATTTGAATGTGGCTTCGTTTGGAAATAGGACATCCAGAGGTAAGCAGTGAAACAGCACAGCAGGGTTGGGCCTGAATCTGGGATGACTGGCATTTTTATAACAAGGAGAAATTTGGACACTAGGACAGACAGACATAGAAGAAAGATAAGGTGAAGAAAGAGAACAGATGGCCATCTCTGTGTCAGAGGAGAACTGGAACAGTTCCTTTCTTTAGAGACTCGGAAGGAAGCAACCTTGCTGACACCTTAATCTCAAGACTCTGGCCTCCAGAGCTGAGAAAAGGTGCATTTCTGTAGCTTAAGCCCCAGTTTGTAGCACTTTGGGCCAACAGCCCCAGGAAGCTAACACAGGGGTACAGGTATACGACTTGAGTTAAAACAGTCTGCTCTGACATCCTGCTTCCACTCTTGTGTACCTGGTGGCCTTGGCCAAGCTACTCAGCCTCTTTATGCCTCAGTTTCCTTCTGTGAAATGGAGATGGCCAACCAGTGTCTTGGGGTGCTGTGACAATTAGAGAACATGATGTGCTTGAAGAGTGCCTGGCAGGAGGGATGGCAGAGGTGGGGCCGGAAGGGCCCTGTGGTGGTGGGTTAGTCTGTGTTCCTTTCTCATACCTTAGCCACTGCTATAGTGTGGACCTGGGATGTTTCCTAAAGGCCCATAGGCTAAAGGCTGGGTCCCAGTCTGACATGCTACTGGTATTTGGTAGTGGAATGTTCAAGAGGTAGAGCCTAATGAAAGGAGGTTAGGTTATTGGGATCCTGGCCAATTTTGCATGTCTCTGTTTCCTGGCCACTGTGAGGTGAGCAGTTTTGCTCCAACATGTTCCTGCCATGATGTTCTGCCTTGCAATGGGGCCAACTGACTGTGGACTGAAACCATGAGCCAAAACAACCTTTTCGTCTTCAACTGTTGATGTCTCAGGTATTTTGTCATAGCAATGGAGAGTTAACACAGCTACCTCTGCTTCCTTTTAGTGTTGCTTCTCCAATGACTCTTGTTCTTTGCCCCACATTCTCTCTCCTTCCTAAGGGTACTCTGTCTATAATCTTGGGCTTGTCCTTTTCCCCATTCATTTCAGCATTGGGCATTTCCTCATCTTTTTTTTTCCAAGTCTCTCAAAGCCAGTCTGGCTCTTCCTTCTTTGACCAGATGGTTTCACTGGTATCTCAAGTCTTCTTTAGTTACCCAGCTTCCTTCTCTCTCCCCTCTCTGAAGACGTTATTCCAGGAGAGTGTCCTCAGCTTTCCTGCTCCTTGCCCTGCAGATGTCTTGTCAGATGTCATCACTTTCTCCTCCACTGGCCTGGGCAATAATTTATTGCTACCCCATTTGGGCAGCCAGCACATTCTCCCAATGCTTTCATGTCTGGTTAAAAGTATCTCAGTCTCCTGGTTAGAGGAGCATGTTGGGGAAAGTTCCCCCTGATTATTTGATGATTCCTCAAAACGAGACCTGAGCTTTGAGCTCGGGGCAGTGAATACGCACGGGATGCATCTAGACAGCGTGGTGCCTTGTGTGGGTACCTGGATTTCTTTTGTGAGAGTTGGCAGCAGTGGAACGAGAGGAGCATGACCTGACCCAGCTGGGTCAGGCTGGCCTGGGGCACGGAAGATCTCCAGATCTAAACCAGGGGACACTTGGAAACCAGTCTTAGCAACACATGTCCCGCCAAAAATAGCTGAGTGACTGCTAGTGGTAGGTTGGTTTAACCATCCCCATCTTTATCCCTCCCTGGATCCTGGGGCTCTCCATTGCTGACTATGGGCTTTACCTTGTAACTGGCTCTTTTGACCAGAGGATCCAGAGTAAAGTTGATGCAGTCAGAACCTTCAAAAAGCCATCGTCTGACTTAGAACCCTGCCGGAGGATGAGAGGCTACACGGAGCAAAACCATCAGAGGCCAGACAGCAGCAGGCTGACCATAAATGGACAAGCCCAACACAGCCGCGCCCGGCAGAGATCTGAAAACCCGCCCCTCCCTCCCCCAGGCGGACTCAGAGACTCAGAGAAAGGAGTGGTGGGTGATTTAGGCAACTATCTAGTGGAGTGGTTTGTTAAGCAGCAGTAGCTAACTGCCTGCTGCTCTGCCCCGAACTTCTTTGCTTCATGGTGGTGCATGCCTCGTGCTGGATGTTGAGTTCAGCTCTTCATCTTCTCTCACCCAACACTGTTTGAGAAGCCAGTTTTATTTCCAAGAGAAGTGCTGCACTCCCAATTGAATGGCTTAAGATTAAAGTGCCAGAGAGACTTTTACAAGTCATTTCAATATGTATGCATATGTACAGTTTATCAAAAAGTATGTCAGCACAGACTTTTATACAAAGGGACAATGTTTTCTATTTGGGGGGGCATTCAACATACAGAAGCAAACCCCTCATGTATGAATACCTGTGCTTTTTCTGCTCTGACGTAGAGTAGTTGGCTGCCTCTGGGGCAGAGGCAGTTTTTAGCTAATGATTCCTAAATGCGGAGCTAAATTCTTTGGGCCTGAGAATGCTTTTAGAAATGCCTAGTATGAAGTAAAGGCACCCTTGATCCAAGAGTAAAGCAAGGTAATTCAGATAGCCCATCCGCCCTAACCAGGGGTGTACATGGCTGGGGTCACTCAACAGGCTCACAGCCAACGTGGCCTTGGGAGAGGCACTGCTCTGAGTAGACCCAATTTCTTAAGATTTCAAATATAAAATTGCCTTCACTTATAGATGTTTTATAAACAATGTTTCTGTGCCTCTTTTCCTATGCTGTGGTCAGTGGCTGTACTGTATGTGCCAGAATGATGTCCACTGCATTAAAGCAGAGTTGAATTTGTTTACCGAGTGGTGTTCTCTCTCTGAAGGCAAGTTATTTCGACAATCTCCAGTGAATGGACACATTAAAAATGTACTTGAGTTTACCTTGTGGTAAATAGCTTTTTCCATTTTCAATGAGCTGGTGATTAGTACTGCTCTTTTGGTGATCTTTTTTAAGGAGTGGAACCAAGGTTGAGGAGCCCATAAGGAGTGCTGGCAGTATGGTGGCTGGGGGGAGCAGACCTCTTTTCAGCCCAGGGTACCGGGTAAGGATGAGACCACTCCAACACAGACGGGGCATCCACTCACGTGAGTCTCATAATCTGCATCTTGAACAGGTTTTTCTGGTGGTGGTGAAGATAAATGAGATAATGCAATATATAGTGTTTGCACAGCTCCAAGGTAGCAGATATTAAACAGTTACAGGGTATTTTAGCTGAACCACATATTGGCAGTAAGAAGATATCCAATCTCAGAAGAGAATTAACGTATGGGCCAACATAGGGCTCTTTCTAATGTCGGACAAAACCCCTGTTGTTCCATCTCGGCTCTAGGTGGAAGTGCATCTAATGAAGATCTGGAAAGGCCTGGCGTCCAGGTGTATCTCCAGACATTCAAATGAACTGTTTCCAAAACAACAGGTGATTAAAGTAAAGGATTTATTGTAATCTGCTTACAGTCCTTTGCAAAGACAGACATATGTTTTTGCATAAAGATATAAATTGCTTCATTTTAAACTAATTTAGTGTTTTTTTTTATAATTATATGAAGAAGTTTTGGTGAATTATGAACTGTACCAAACCAAGATTTTTAAGAGCAATATGGTACAAAAATAAGAGCAGACAGACAATTTGGACTGGGACAGGCATTCAACAGTGAATTTAGAATATGGCTTTGCTGTTTCATCAAGCAAAGTTACCCGGAGACACACAAAGAGCCAGTAACTTTGTTAATACAAAAAGCTGATGCAGACCGTCTTCAAACCTGGTTAAGCTCAAATTCCTGAAGTCTGAACTTGAAGCTGCTTTTGTAAGCCATTTCTTTTCCCGGATTGCCCAGTCTGCATGCTGTGTATTTATCACCTTCAGAGTGTGGCTTTCATATTGCTGTGCATGTAAGTTGGCTTTATTTAAAGATCTGCCTATAAATTAAATTCTTGAAATTGCAAATTATGTAAGAAAAACTCCTCCCTCTGAGTGCAGCTTTCACAGGTTTCCCCTTGCATAAGGCAGGTGTCTTTGGAAAGACACAAGGTAATGTTGCCTGCATGGTGAACCCTGGAGAAGTGTTGATCCGACGCTGCCTTCTCCTGGCCTTGGACTTGAGCTACAGCTTTTAGGTTTTGGAAAATAATGATTTCACTGAGTACCTGATGATGATCATCACCACTTTTAAAAGATTAATTTGGCCTCTATTCAAAGTATTTAGTGCAATCATATCATTTCCCCAAAGATCTACGTTTGTGATCTGGGGCAAGAGAAAAGCCATAAATTGCATCAGTGCCAAACAGATTAATGAATTAAAAATTTTAGTGCCACTGTCTTGCTTATATGATCTGTAGTGTTTTTCTCCAAAACTGTTTGCTTATGTATAAAATTTATTTTTAAAACCTACCTTTAAAAAAAAAATCTAAAAACCCTCTAATGATCTCCCGGTCTCCACGCCATTCTGAAATGACCCTTGCCGAGACAGCTCATCCCAATACATCCTGCCATGATCTATGTGTTCCCATGACCAGTTGCAGGAGTGCAGAACCATTTCCAGGATCAGAGGTGACTATCTGATCTTTGACAGACGTAGAGTGCATGGACTTTTTTTTCTCCCTAAAGGAGAAAAATTGGATTTTCTGAAATGGGAGGATTGTGCTCTCTGAGCCAAGTTTCCAGTCTCCCCCTCCGAGAGCTGATTCTGCTGCTTGTGGAAAAGGGGGAAAGAGGCAGCTTTTGCAAAGCTAAAGCACTCCCAGGACCTTCTGTCCCATGGGTGCTGTCAAATGACACCTGCAAGGAGCTGCAGACACCGCAGTGTGTTGTCCCCCGATGGAAGGAGGATGAAGCAGAAACCGGAAAAACGTGCTCAAGTCTCTCCAACACCACAAGCGGGAGACCAAGAACAGAACAAAAAGTACAGAAAAAGTAGAAAGGCTTAGAGACAACCCAAGAGGTTTAAGTGAGGTTATTTACAACAGAGACTGTAAAATGGTAAATTAGATATGAAGCTAAAAAGGCACAGCTTTCCCTTTCTTAAATACACTGTAAACGGTTCATTATGCATGCATAACATTTCACTTTACAAAAAAAAATTTTTACCTTGTTTAGACAAAGATAGTACTTAAATAGTCTCCAGCAAAATAGAATTCTTTCAAAAATACTTTCCCATTCATCCTATTCACCATTAAAGTTTTTTTTTGTTTTGTTTTTCTATGTGTCTCATTTACAAAAGTTCCTTACACCTTATTTTCAGGTCCTTCACAATTTATACATACAGTAATGTACAGCACAGCAAAAGACTGCAAAAAATTATCTGTAAAGCCAACACAATAGATACTAGAAATCGAAACCAAGGCATTTGTTTTAACATCTTATCCATCCTAATTAAATAATAAATGGACGCTAAGAGTGTGTATCCGGTGATGGAGAAGAACGCGCCCAGAGCAGGCCTGTTCCACGCCATGTGTTTTGTTATTACACAACAGGAATCTGTATATGTTTTTTCTTTTTGTGTGTTTTTTTTAAATAACAAAAAGAATATTAATGCCCCATATTGACTATACGTTTTATGTGCAAACCAAGGGTAAGCTTTAAAAAGTTCGTTAGTCCTTGAACCCTTTTAAAACAAGCGAACGATACCAGAAACTACATGGCATAGTTAAAACTTCCATCTGTTAAAATATCAAAATCAGAGTTATTGACTAGATATGGCTTTTCATCCAGAGGAACAGGAACGTGTTTCTAAGCATCGGGGAGCGGAGAGGGAAGAATCCTTAGCCTGCTCAGGTCTGGCCAAACCCAGGTCCAACGGCTTTCCCGGCTCCAACCCCTGGACATGAGTTTAAGCTTGAGAAACTGCCGAACGAGTGAATCAACCATCACATGTTAAAAATATGATCTCGTGGGTCCTTCGCGGGTATGGAATAACACGGGGAAACTTAAGGCAAAGTTCTTCTGGTAAGACGTCTCCGTCACTTCCTGTGAAAGTAAAGGGCCTTGGCGTTGCCGGACTCCACCTTTGGCAGCTGGTCGCTGATGATCTCCACCAGCATGGCGGGGAACTCCACTTTCAAGGCCTGGGACTCGCGGAAGGTATAGAAGCAAAATTCCAGCAGATCGCTCACCAGCTGCAACAGACAAGGAGCGTGAGGGAGCGCCTCATCCCACCTCCCCTGGACCTCCCGTGGGTGACCGCCCTGGGAACAGAGAGCAGCCAGCTGGGAAACCAGGCCACAGCTCAGCCAAGTCGTGTGATCGGGGTGCTCCTGTCAGCTGTGGCGTAATGTGCCTGTCGTGTGGAGTGAGCTCAGACGAGGTATGTGATGGTGGTGCATTGACTATCAGAGGCAGGAGTGCCTGGGTCACTGAACAGCTCTCAGCAGAGCCTCATTTCTGAGTCTCTGGATGCTTAGGGCCCATAAATGGCAAGAGGGTGAGAAGCAGGACAATGCTTCATTGGGGTGGTGTCCCACGGAGAAGCCAGTACTTCCTCCAGCTTCAGGGCAGGGCTGAGGCTCCTTAGCCACTCTGTAGGTTCAGTCTGATTTCCAGAGGTTGAAAGCATCCCATTGGGGCCTGTCCCTCCACCTCATTTTCTCCGCTGTGATTCAAGAACTGGTTTAACCTTCCCTGGACCCGAGCCACTCCCAAGTCTGTAAGTTCAAAACCCTAGAAAAGATTAGTGAACCCCCAGAGGCTCTTGTGTTAAGGCTTGCTCCCCCCATGGTGGTGCTATTGGGAAATAGTTGGGGGTCTGCTTTTGAAGGAGAAAGTGGGACCAGACCCATCCTATCCCTAGCACCCCTACCATGATGTGCTGCCTCACCACAGCCCTAAAGCCCAGGGACCAGCTGATTGATCATGGACTGAAACCTCCAAAACAACCCTTTTTCTTTACAGTTATCTTCATGTATTTGTCACAGTAATGGGAAGCTAACATGCACCATTGTGAGACAAAGGGCTTTTGGTCCTTTCCTGCTGTATCACAGCAGATGACATTAACATCGCCTGTCATAAAATGACTCCAGTCTTGAAGCAGTGATTCTGGTGAAGCTGCATCTGTATTTCTCCTCAACTTTTAACTACCAGGGTTGAATAAGACAGTAAAGACCTTAAATACAAGTCAAAAAAAAATCTCATCCAGAAAAAAAAAAGGTCCATCTGTTTGTGGCTGTGTTCTTCCTGCAAACTGGTTTCCCTTAGATTCAGTAAGTGTCTTGCCCCCATCGAATGCTGGCTCAGAAACAGCACAGCCACTGTCCTCTGGACACACTAAATTCATGCCTCAGTTTCCTTGTCTGTAAGGTGGGGATACTGACAGTACCTAAGCCTCAGAGTTGTTCAGAGGACTGAATGGCTCTGAACCTCCCCTAGCATGGAACTAAATGGAAACACTTAGTCAAGCTGCTAAGAAGTGTACTGCTGGAACAAAACCTCTCCACCCTTAACCATCAAATGACACTTCTCTGGGACACAGTTTGCAAAGCCTGCTCTGGGTTGTCTTCCCAGGACTTGAATGGGGAAGTGTTTCTTATGTTTTGTATGTGGAAGGCCAGTGGATATCGAAGCTAAACTTCCCTGGGTATGGCTCTCCCACGGTGGTGCCTCCACTGTCAGATATCCTGCTATGGGGTGTGATGCCCCCTCAGTCAGCTGCAGAATCCAGGATCAAATTCACAGAGTCTCTCCATGGCTGTAAAGGACTTTTTTTCCCCCATTGGCAAGGTGGCTGGTGTGTGTGCCACCACAACAAAGCAAGACAAGTAACCGGAAATCAGCATTGTAACCCTGGTTTGGGAAAGCATCTCGCAGCCATCATATGAATTTGGACTGGTCTGGGGTGAGAGAGCCCCACAGACCTTCCACTGCGCTGGCTCAGAAGGCGCTGCTTTGAGAACCTGGCCCCGCAGCATGACTGTGACCCCAGCCTGCCAGGTGCCCTGCACTGCAGGGTGCAGTGTTGTGACACAGAGGCTGCTGCCCACAAGAACCAGAAGACTGGACGCCTGGCCCAGTAAAGGTGGGTGCTCCTGTGGGTCCTGCTGTCCTTCCCCCTGTGCCCAGGCGCCGGTTACTGACCGAGCAGGGAGTCACCCCAGGGTTCCTGCTGTTGCCCTGCTGACAAGGGAGAACTGGGGTGCCCTGGAGCTATTCCTCACCTCTAGCTATCACCCTGCCCTTCCACAGCTGGGAAGAGGATGACTTTGCCCGGCCAAGGTTCTGCTCCAGGGGAAGCTCTACCGCCAAAAATGTCAGAGGGGGAGAGGTTGTGGCGTCCTGGCTGGGCGCCGTCACAGAGGCCGTGTGTTACTACACACTGCTGTCAGGTCTGGGTGAGAGTGAAACAGTGTCCTGTGGATTCCCGCCACTGCTGCTCCCTGGGCCTCACCCCTGACTGGTGAAGACAAGTCTCTAGGACCCTGCACACAGCTGGGCTACCAGAGGCCCCTGATAGCAACAGTACCTGAGGAGACCCCCATCACTGCCCGCATAGCACCTGACACCCACTGCTGACTATACCACACCTGCTTGAAGTGCTAGTGTCCCCACTGTTGTGTCACCCCCAGAGACAGTGGGTATCCAAAGGTGCCAGGAATGTACTGTATCATTAATTACAACCCAAAAAATCCGAGTGACTACATTATGGTGCACAGCAGGAATCAAAGCCAACATTCCACAACAAGCTGACACCCAAGGACATGGTTTCAGGAGGATGCCAAAGTGACAGAGCTATCTAGTCTGCTGGATGTGCAAACAACACAAGAAATATGAAGGGGAAAAAAAGGAGTAATGACACTTTCAAAAGAACATAACACCCCTAACTACAGATGAAATACCTGACAATGGATTTAAAAGAGTGATTTTTAAAAAGCTCAGTGAAATCCAAGATAAATTAGCAGCATAGCAGGATATGAATAAGAAATTCAGTAAAGATATTGAAAAGGAACCAAACACAATATCCATTCATGTTCAAAACACTAGAAAAACTAAGTATAGTAGGAATATACCTCAATATTGTAAAAGCTGCATGTGTCAAACCTAAGGCCAACATCATGTAAAACAAACCGGGGATGCCCTCTTTGACTATTTATTCAAAATAGTCCTTGAAACTCTAGCCAGAGCAATCAGACGAAAGAAATTAAAGGAAACAAACAGGAAAAGAAGAACTCAAACTACCCCTATTTGCTGATGACATGATTCTATATTTAGAAGACCCCCCCCCAAAAAAAGAAAATACCAGAAAACTTCTACAACTCAAATTCAGCAAAGTAGCAGATGTACAATTAATACCCATAAATCAATTGTGTTCCTATACCCCAATGATGAATCAGCTATAAGAGAAATTAGGAATAACTATCCCATTCATAATTGCCTCAAAAAAATAATACTGGGGAATCAGTCTAACAAAAGAGGTGAAAGATCTCTACAATGAAAACTATAGAACACTAAAAAAAGAAATTCAAAAAGACCTTAGAATATGGAAAGATATCCCGTGTTCTTGGGATAGGCAGAATTAATATAGTCAAAATGGCCATACTGCCAAAAGCACATATAGATTTAATTCAATTCCTATTAAAATTTAAATGACATTCATAATAGAAAAAGCAATCATGAAATTTATTTGGAAAAATAAGAGGCCCAGAAGAGCCAATGCAAATACTAAGTGGGGCAGGAGGCATCACAATACCAGGCCTTCAATTTTACTATGGAGCCACAGTAACAAAAAGAGCATGATAATTAGCATCAAAACAGAAGACACAGAGACAAATACAGTTCTCTCATACTTGACAAAGGTGCCAGAAGCACACATTGGAGAAAAGATAGTCTCTTCAAAAAATGGTGCTGGGAAAACTGGAAAATCATATGTAGCAGAATGAAACTGAACACCTTTCTCTCACCCTGCACAGAACAACATGAAGTGATCAAAGACCTAGGCGTTACACAAGAGCCCTGCACGTACTAGAAGAAGATGTAGGCCCAATACGCCATCATGTTGGCTTAGGAACCGACTTCCTCAATAAGACTCCTAAAGCCCAAGAAGAAAAATCGAGAACAAATGGGATGATAGCTGGGATCAGTGGCGCATGCCTGTAATCCCAGTAGCTCAGGAGGCTGAGGCAGGAAGATCGCTGGTTCAAAGCCAGCCTCAGCAATTCTGAGGTGCTAAGCAACTCAGTGAGACCCTGTCTCTAAATAAAATACAAAACAGGGATGTGGCTCAGTGGTCAAGTGCTCCTGAACAAAATCCTGGTACCCCTCCACCCCCAAAACTAGGATGGTATCAAACTAAACACAGCAAAGAAACAATTCTTTAGGGAAAAAATTCCCTAAAGAATGGGAAAAAAAAAAATCTTTGCCACCTACACCTCATCTAGAGCTTTCATCTCCAGGATATATAAAGAACTCAAAAATCACACACACAACCCCAACCAATAAATGGGCAAAGGAACTGACCAAACACTTCACAGAAATGTTCAACATTTCTAGCAATTAGAGAAATGCAAATTAAAATTACACTGAGATTTCATCTCACTTCAGTCACAATGGCAACAA